AAGATCATTAAAACAAGAGAGCTAGTCTCTAAAACAGACATGGCTATGGCTTGATGCTAACATGTTTGTTTTAAACATACTTTTGTTATATTACATTTGTGTTGTGTTTTCCAAATAGTGTAGAAAATGAATGGTGGGTTTATAATATTTACCTTTTATGAGCAGGACAGGAAGCAGAGAAGTGTAGCATTACCTTCAACTAGTTAAACTCATAATTATGAAGTTATTGAACAAATTCCTCAAGTAAAAAAGTGCAACTTTTATTTTTTATTTCTTTTTTTTTTTTACCAGATTTGTTGATTAATTTCAAAATTATGTATTCCTTCCAAATTTCCAAATCTGAAAAATTTTTTAAACCAATATCTACATTATTTAACATTTAGTTTATGTTTTAGCAGTACTTCCTGTTATATTTCTTTATACGTATATTTTACATTTTCTTTCACAGCAAGTTCAGCAGATTTGAAATAGTGTGCTTGTGTAAACACAAGTAGTCAATCTTTACTCTAAACATATATTTTGGTTATTTTTTAGTTAGACCTTCTTGTTTTTATATATCTGTATAGTACCCCCCCAAAAAAATAAAAACACTGTAAATTGATTAGAAATATTAATCATCTGTCAGATTTCTGAGAAAAAAGTCAGAATTCTGAGATTAAAGTCAGAATTCTGAGAAAAGTCAGAATTATGACTTTTTCTTTTTCCCCCATGTTAAACTAAAAAAAAATGTAAAAATCAGTTAACTTTTTTTTTCAGTGGCCCTAATCCTCTTCCGTACAAGATGACTAAACCAAAAAGATTCAGTTTCTATATATGAAAGTGAACTGACAACAAGACGTTATAAATAGGCAATATTCATAGCAGCATTCCCGACAGACCATTTTACCTCATTCACAAGTTTCTGACTTCTGTGTGGCCGTTTCCCTCCCTTCTGAGTGCTCAAACACTCAGCAGATTAGAGAGGGGAGGGGGAGTACAGTGACGTAACGCTATGCTGCGCCTTCAAAATAAAAGCACGCTAGTTAAAAAAATGTCAAAATCTAATATTTTGCGGTACAATTTTTGGGGGGGACATATCCACCTGGCTTTTATATTGGGGGGGACATGTCCCCCCCGTCCCCCCGCTTCCTACGCCGCTGCCTGCATGTTTCGTGTCATAGTTCTATTCTATCTCATGTTTTGTGTCATAGTTCAGTTCTATTCAATTTTTCTATTTTAGTTCCACGAAGTAATAGAATAGAATTTAATGCTGGTGAAGATTCTCAGTCATCCAGGTCATAGTCTTTTGAAAAAAATAAAATTAAAAACAGTGGATTGTTTGTAATTTTATTTTTTTTGGAATAGAATTGAATAAAGCAGAATGAGAAAAAGTGGTTTTCGATCATAGTTCTCTACCATTCTTCTATCTTCTAGCAGTAAAAACACATAGCAGCACAAATATAGAAAATAGCTTAGGATAACTGGCAATTTTGATAAGGTATGAGGAAGGTAGTGCTACAGTAGGGCCAAGGTAGAGCCAAGGAGAAACGTCTGACTGGACTGAAATCTACCCTGCCGGACTGTTCATGACCTAGTTTTAAAAGTAGACAGGGTGTCTGCCTCACTGCATAAATGACCACAAATACCATGGGTTAATATATGGTACCTTAATTAGCTAATAATCCCTATCACAGTATTATTGTATTGGATAACACTGATGCAAAGACATTCAATGTGATCAAAGCAGTGAGTCTTTGTTTGGTTTTACAGTGAGAAATTGATCAGATATGCATTAACATGTAGCAGCACTGGAACAAAGGGTGTTAGCTCAGACATCACCAGGACAATGGCTTCTGGGGGTGACCCAACTAGAACAGTAGGTTCTAAATTCACAAAATGGCTTCTACCGTGGGGCCGAAGATGAGTTAGTTTGGAGCTAATGATGCTAACCAGTCAGACAGCAGCTTGACTCTTCAGACAAAAAAATAAAATAAATAAAAGTAAGCAGACAGTAACATACAGTACAGATTGTTGAGTCAGGCTCATTGAGCATTAGCATTTAGTTTCACAGTTTAGAACTCTTACTTAAAACCCATCAGCAGTTGAATTAGAAAGCTTTTTTCAGAAAAGCACTGTTGTGTTTTTATGTTATGTTCAATTCCCAGCCAGCTGGGAATATATATTTCTAGGGCTGGGTATTTTCGCCAAAGTCCTGAATTGTTGAACCATAATGAAAGTGGTTCAACTGTGTTTCAAAATACTCATGTATTTTGTTTTTTCCTGTCACATTAAACACAAAGTACAAACTTTTAAATCAGACAGTTTAAAAATGAGATGTGAAAAAAACTGTCTCAAAAGTGCAAACTTGTTTGTGAAAAGTGAAAAAGTGAAGCCTCACTCGAGCAAGCAGGTGTGACATAGCAGACATGCATGAGCTGCATTATCTTCACTGCACAAACCATTTTTGCAGTGTTGTCGGTAACAACTACAGGGTGGTTTCTGGTCAGCCCCATTTGTTAATGTCTTCAGTCAACTTATTGGGTATATTTGCAGCTGTCTGGCTTGAAGTAATCTTGAGTGCATATTTCCTGCTTATTTGAATGTGAACGTCACGCGGGTCACTATAAAATTAATCAATCTCATTCCCTAGGCATCCATTTTGCAAAAATGTAAAGGAATCGATTCAAAATCAATTAAATAGATTTTTTACCCATCCCTATATATTTCTGATACTTTAAGATGGTTATTGCCCTCCGATCAGCAATCCTACTACAGATTGTTTAGTGTGAGCTGACAGAATTAAGAAAGACTCCTAAATGAACCATTAATCCTGCAAAATGTCATGTTGTATCGGTGTCTGCTTATGTGCGGTAAGGTGATGTTTTTAGAAGTCTCAAACTGTACCCTGCTAATGATAAAGTATGAGTTTTGTTTCTCCCCTCCCATATTATGAAAATTTTTTCAAAACTGAGTAGAATCCTCCAATTTTAGCCTATATTTGTGATAACCAGGCTGACTTTAGTAATACAATATATTTAATGGTTTTGAATTAGCTGTACAAGCTTTACTTATTTCAAATATCTTCTTTAAATGTCTTTGTCTATAGGTGAACAAACAAAAGGAACAATGGCAAGAAGAATGGCACTGTCCACTTCTACAGGCAACAGCATTTACTTGGAGGAAATCATAGATTACTTTACTGTTTTGGATGTCGTTTATCCAAATCAGTTTGAAGAACACACCATAGACAAAGAAACTGTTCAGCAGACAGAGGAGAGTTTTTTCAGAGGAGCACCCCCTGAATGGCTAAACTTTCACATTAGTGAACTGTCTTACTCAAGTGGCACTGGTTTGTCATTAATCAAAAGAGATGGATATAATAGACTTGTGCAGCAGGTACATAAACGGAGGAACCAATCTGGAACTTCAGCAGTTAAACTGTTCCACCAGCAAGGATGTGGGGGGACCACGCTGGCCATGCAGGTGTTGTGGGACATGAGAAAAACCTTCAGATGTGCTGTTTTAACAGGTTCCCCCTTAGAGAGCTCAAAGATAGCGAGAGAGGTGGTTCATCTTTACATTGGAGGAAGCAAATATGAACTCAACACTGTGCTGCTTTTAATTAATGATGAATTCAATTTGGAGCAACTTCAAGACAGCATAATGGCAGAGATTGTAGGACAGGAGATCGATGTTGACATACCTGTGGTGATTTTATTCAACTGTGTGAGAAGTGACTATGCCATCCTCAAAGCAGAATATTACAGAGAAAAAGAAGGGTTAAAGGATCGTGACAGCGACTATGTTATCCTCAAAAGAAGTCTCTCACACAATGAACAGAAAGAACTGGACTCCAAAAAGGAGGACCTCCACCGGATTTATGGGGCTAAAGCCTCCCAGTTCCATGGTTTCAACATATTACAAACTAATTTCTCACATAATTATATCCAGGAAGTGTGTGCTGTCTTTAGCACCATTGAAAGGAAACATAAACCCTTGAAGACCCAGCTGGCGTCATTCCTTTCATTGCTGAATGCCTATGTACCAGGTTCATATCTGGTGGAGTCTGAGTGCTTAGACTTCCTCAGACACAACGACTCACTGCCAGATGACATTTCATTGATGACCCTAATGCAACCTTTTAGCCATCTCATTCTCTCTTTCCAAAATGACAAAAGGAGTGATAAGAAAATCAGGATGGCTCACCCAATGATCGCAAAGCACTGCACTGAACTTATGGCCAATGCAGGAGTAGCCAGAAGTGACACAATAAGAAACTTTTTGAACGGTTTTTGCACAGATGACGTTTCTCCATATTTGCTTGGGTTCATCAAAGATTTGCTGACCAAACGAGAAAACAAAAAAGATGGAATGGTTGAAGATTTGGAAAAGTTTTCTAATCTGATTTTAGAGATCAGCAAGATGGAAGACAAAAATCAGAGTGCATAAGTCCTAAAGGTTGCATCAAACAAGTTTGATAAGAACTCTTTTTTCCCCCAGGCACTTGCCAGATTTTGCTATGGAGAACTTAAAGACTACAAGGAGGGAGAAATTTGGGCAAAGAAGGCAATAGAACGTGAGCCCAAGAAATCTTTTATTGCTGACACACTGGGCCAAGTTCATAAAAATCATCTAAGAGAGAAGAAGCTGTTAATGGAGCCAAGAGAACTATTGCAGTTGGCCCAGAAGGCCATCAAAGCTTTTGAGCATGAAGAACAGCTTGCAGAAGAGGAGCATAGAAGGAACATGCCAGAAGATGATAAATCCAAAGTGCTATGGGGTTTAAATACCAGAGGGCAGTTTGGTTTCCTACAGGTCTGTAACATTCTGTTTGACAGCCTGGTCCGCCAAAATCAAGACTGGGAGGCAGTGCTAACAAAGAATGTGTCCATGGGCTTGGTGTTGAATTCACTTGGCGACAACAAACTCTTTAGATTCAGATATCTAATAGAGAATCTGAGGGAGAATGTTGAAAAAAAATTTGAATTTTTTGACAACTTCCTCACTTACTGACAGTCTGTTTCTAGAAATGACAAGGCTTATGTTTCTAAACAAGCAGCGGAATGCTACAAAAAGTATGTTGGCAATTCCATCCCTAAACACGATGACAGAGACCACCAGACCTTTCAAAAACTCAAACAAAAACTGGCCTTCAACACTGCTGGGGTTCTCTCATGTCTTGACAGAACCTGTACATCAGACATTGAGCACATTGTAGATTTGTGGAAGGGAATCCACCAAAGAAAATGTTCTAATACACATGCATTGGTCAACTTTATCTTTGCCCAGATGATGCTTTCAAACAAAAACAGAGCTACATTCAATTATGATTATAAAGACACTATTAAAGAAAGAAAGCCACCATCCTCTGCCACACAAGCAGAGTATTACATTTTATGCTTGCTTCTGTTTTGGCCTGCAGATAATGAGGACAAACCAGTCTCTGATCTCAATCAGTTAATCAAGCATGCAAGTAATGCTTATGATCGAGAATACAAGACCATGTTTAGCTCAAGATACCTACGACCCCTGTTTTTTATTGGGCCAGGCAAAGGCTTAAGCCGATTCGTTCAACGCCGGGAACTTGAGATTGTGTGGACTAAAGATGCACTTCAAGAGTCAAACATAAACTGGAGGAATGAGAGCATCTTCAGAGATCAAACAGTTGAAGAACGGCTTCTCAAATTTGAAGGAGTTGTGCATGACTACCGAGTCTATGCAAAACTCAGAGGTACTGAAGTTGAACTCGAGGCCAACCGAAAAGATAGCCTATGCAGATCAGGACAGGTTTACTTTCACCTCGGATTTACCATCAGAGGTCCGGTAGCCTTCAGAATTCAGAGGAGATTACCAGTTACTAAGGGTAAGAAAACACCTCACAAAAAAGAAATGACTACATGCTATGTCACTTTATATTATAATGCCACAGTATCAATAAGTTTTAACATGATATGAAATTTTGGTTATTAATTTTCGGGTCCCACGCAGAACTAGCAGGGCAACCGAAGTAGATATATAAAAGATATATAATAATATGTGTATGGTTCTTTGTTTTTCTGTTTTGAAAAAACAAAACAAGACAAAGACTTTGTCCGACTGTGGTTACACTAGCCTGATAAACCAGACTAAATGGGAGATTAAATGTATAATTTATTCTGGCCCCAATGAATGAGACCTTGGAAGATTGTTCATTTGAACAACCCGTTGTTTGTAAAACCATTTCTGTGCCTATTGGCCAACACTCTGACCTATGAGCGCAACTGACTGTGATGTCTTAAGTGCGACAGAAAGCTGTTGGGGGAGTGTAAACAAACCCGTCGGTAAAACAGAAAATACGTCCTTCTTAAAAATGAATGAGTGTAGAGACTCTTCCTGCTCACATTGCAACGAAAACCCCAAGTCTAATCCTTCCAAAACTGATTCCAAACCAGAGTCAAATGAGAACTGTTCAATAGTTGTACCATCTTCCTTGTGCTTTCTCCAGTGTCTTGCAGCTTTGTCGTCACGCGCTCAAAACCCTGCCCGCTTTGCATCCAGAAATTCAAAACACATCTCTGCATTGTGATTGGCCCACCAGTTCTAAAGCCTGGGGCATTGAGCGAGGCTCGAAAACTCGCAGGCAAAAAAGTATTTTGACCGCTGATGGGTGGAGCTAGTTTACTAGGCTTTGGTTACACCATTTTAAATGTGTGTCCTAATGTCTAGTAGATGTCTAGTTGCAATTTCCCACAATGGACCTTGAAAAGTAGTGATCATCCATGGTCACTAAATGAGCAAAAATATACCGGAATGCTTTCTGAGAGTTTCCTCGCAAAGTATCATGAAATTTGTTGTCAAAAATGTTGCACGCACCATACAGGGAGGGATGGTCATGCAGCCCGCAGGGAGGTGGAGTCCCTTGACCAACGGGGAGTGAAACGTGGTGATCATCTGTCTGAATGGTCAGTTAACTGAGTTCAGTGTAAAGTCAACTATATAGTCCCAGCTCTATATAGTGATTGAGGGATTTAGGGGTTAGGACGAACGTTCAGGTCTCACTGGGGCGTGGTTGGGAGGAATGGCTGCCCTGATCTGAACTCGAGTGGTGTTCTGTTGTTGGACTTCTGTGCTCGTCATGGATTGTCCATAATGAACACTATGTTCAAGCATAAAGGTGTCCATATGTGCACATGGCACCAGGACACCCTAGGCCACAGTTCGATGATCGACTTTGTCATCGTTTCATCGGACTTGCGGCCATATGTCTTGGACACTCGGGTGAAGAGAGGTGCTGAGCTTTCCACTGACCACTACCTGGTGGTGAGTTGGCTCCGGTGGTGGGGGAGGATGCCGGTCAGACCTGGCAGGCCCAAACGTGTTGTGAGGGTCTGCTGGGAACGTCTGGCAGAGTCCCCTGTTAGGCGGAGCTTTAACTCCTATCTCCGGCAGAACTTCGAACACATCCCTGGGGAGGTGGGGGACATTGAGTCCGAGTGGACCATGTTCCGTTCCTCCATTGTCGAGGTGGCTTATCTGAGCTGCGGCCGCAAGGTTGTCGGTGCCTGTCGTCGCGGCAACCCTCGAACCCGCTGGTGGACACCTCCGGTGAGGGATGCTGTCAGGTTGAAGAAGGAGGCCTATCGGGCCTTTTTGGCCTGTGGGACTCCGGAATCAGCTGATGGGTACCGGCGGGCGAAGCGGCATGCGGCTCGGATGGTTGCTGAGGCAAAAACTCGGGTGTGGGAGGAGTTTGGAGAGGCCATGGAGAAAGACTTCCGCACGGCTCCGAAGCGATTCTGGTCCGCCATCCGGCGTGCAGCACCAACACTGTTTATAGTGGGGATGGTGTGCTGCTGACCTCGACTCGGGACGTTGTGGGTCGGTGGGTGGAATACTTCGAAGACCTCCTCAATCCCACCAACATGTCTTCCATTGAGGAAGCTGGGCCTGGGGACTCTGGACTGGGCTCTCCAATCTCTGTGGGCGAGGTCGCCGAGGTGGTTAAAAAGCTCCTCGGTGGCAGGGCCCCGGGGGTGGATGAGATCCGCCCGGAGTTCCTGAAGGTCCTGGATGTTGTAGGGTTGTGTTGGCTGACACGACTCTTCAACATTGCATGGACATCGGGGGCAGTCCCCCTGGATTGGCAGACTGGGGTGGTGGTCCCCCTATTCAAAAAGGGGGACCGGAGGGTGTGCCCCAATTACAGGGGAGTCACACTCTTAAGCCTCCCCGGCAAGGTCTATTCGGGGGTGCTGGAGAGGAGGGTCCATCGGATAGTCGAACCTCGGATTCAGGAAGAGCAGTGTGGTTTCCGTCCTGGTCGTGGAACGCTGGACCAGCTCTACACCCTCAGCAGGGTCCTGGAGGGTGCATGGGAGTTCGCCCAACCAGTCTACATGTGCTTTGTGGACTTGGAGAAGGTATTCGACCGTGTCCCTCGGGGGCCCTGCAGCTCTCGCTGGATCGGTTCGCAGCCGAGTGTGAAGCGGCCGGGATGGGGATCAGTGCCTCCAAATCCGAGGCCATGGTCTTGAGCCGGAAAAGGGTAGAGTGCCTTCTCCGGGTCAGGGGGGGTGTCCTGCCCCAAGTGGAGGAGTTTAAGTATCTTGGGATCTTGTTCACGAATGAGGGAAGAAGGGAGCGGGAGGTCGACAGGCGGATTGGTGCAGCGTCTGCCGTGAAGCGGGCGCTGTACCGGTCCGTCGTGGTGAAGAGAGAGCTGAGTCAAAAAGCGAAGCTCTCGATTTACCGGTCGATCTACGTTCCTACCCTCATCTATGGTCATGAACTCTGGGTCATGACCGAAAGAACGAGATCGCGGATACAAGCGGCCGAAATGGGTTTCCTCCGTAGGGTGGCTGGGCTCTCCCTTAGAGATAGGGTGAGAAGCTCGGTCATCCGGGAGGGACTCGGAGTAGAGCCGCTGCTCCTCCACGTCGAGAGGAGCCAGTTGAGGTGGCTTGGGCATCTGTTTAGGATGCCCCCTGGAGGCCTCCCTGGTGAGGTGTTCCGGGCACGTCCCACCGGGGGGAGGCCCAGGGGAAGACCCAGGACACGCTGGAGAGACTATGTTTCTCGGCTGGCCTGGGAACGCCTTGGGGTTCCTCCTGAAGAGCTGGAGGAAGTGGCTGGGGAGAGGGAAGTCTGGGCCTTCCTTTTTAAGCTGCTAACCCCGCGACCCGACCCCGGATAAGCGGAGGAAGATGGATGGATGGATGGAATTAATAAAAAAAAATAAAAAATTAAAGTGCGCCTTTTTCTCATTTTTTGACGGTTAATATCAAGACATGTTCAATATTTTGTTTGCGCTCCTTTCAGACCTTTTAGTTCTAAATTATGGTTTTAATCTGACACATTATGTCTTCAGTCAGCACTAGAATGGCAAATGTTTTACTTTTGACATGGCTGTCTTACTTAGAAGATTCTGTGATTGGCCTGGCAACCACACTGTTTTTGCGTTCACATCAATATCCTAGACTTCAAAGTAAAAGCACACATGAGACCTTTCTAATGTAACAGAGGGCTACCTTCTTTTAAATCTTGCTCCATGGAAAAACCTTTATCACATATTAATGTGGAGCTCCACGGCAAATCGAGGTTTTGCTGTTTTTCCACTCCTAAACTAAATCAGTAATCACTGCAGAATAAGGTTTGAGTGCAGCAATTCCCAATACTTTAAAGATGCCAAGTCACGCCTTACACAAAAAAACAAATGTTTATGTTAGAATGAAGTAATAAATTAAGCAATCTATGCCAGGATTTGTGAAGAGCTTGTCATGTTTATTAATGGACATTAGATATTTACTTAATCTTGGCTTTTTCCTTTCTCTTCATAATATCACTTAAGCCCACAATACACGAGCGGTGTAAGTTTTTTTAATCTCCGATTCGATTTTTTTCCATGTCACACTGAATGCATACAGAGAGGCAACAACTAGGCAGGGTTGGAAGATATGCAAAGATATTTTTCATTTCTGTCTCTGTGCTACACACAACTTAAAACAATTTCACCACATTTGACTTGGACAGATTATGAAAAGTGTTGTGAGACTCAAAGCGGATCACTATTTTATCCGTTTTCTGTCATTCTAAACTTCTATCGTGGGTAAAGTATTATGTTGTCATGATGGGTTCTCAAATGGAGACCCAATTATGCAGAACACCACTTGACGGACACAAGGATGAAAGTTTAACACGTTTATTAAGCACAACACACAGAATGTACTGATGACAGGTTCGGGCCTGGGTTCTGGTTTCACCGGAGTCTGCGTGAGAGACAGAGCGGTTAAGGACTGCTGACAGGATTAGATTTCCAAGTGAGCTCTGATGTACCTTGAGGGTTCTTGAGGCTCTCTTTGGGAGAGTCACTGTTGGTTCTGGAGAGGTGTTTATCAGCAGAGTCCGTTTGCTGCTTCAGCGTCTCACGTCTAGCTTGAACAGACCTTAGCCTTGGTTTCCCAGCTCTGGTCCAGAGCTGCTTGGAGGTTCTCAGAGAATCTTCAGGGTTTGGCTCAGAGGGTCGGCTCGGCAGGTTAGCTCTTCCTGAGCTTTCACGGAGGAGACACGGGTTTCCTGGAAACACAGAGATAGTGGTTAGAATCCAACCTGGATTCAAAGTCATGGAGATACTCAAGGATCTAGGCTTTAGCGCTGACCAACTGGAACAACACTGCGGCGTTGAGGCAAGGTCTGAAGACAGCTTATATAGTGGATCCTCTGATGATCTAGATGAGCTGCAGCTGCGCAGGAGGCTCCCTCAGAGGATCCACGGCGGACTCTGCTGGAGAAAGATGGGATTTTCTCCAGCTCCCAACAGTACCCCCCCCTCAACGACCGCCCCTTGGCGGTGCGGAAGAGGTAGATGGGCAGGAACGCTCGTACTCC